ATTATTTTCTTTTTTTTTGATGGCGGCGTGAAGGGGGTGGTTCGGTGCGAATACGGTAAAAAAAAAAGGGAACATCACAAGCAGGAGGAGGATGAGGATGGGGAGCAAAAAGACCACCGAGACATCATGAGAGGATACACACACAAAAGAAAACAAAAACAACTTCCCCCAGGGCGAATAAAAACAGAAACATCCCGCCCTCCCCTGCTCGCCCTCTCATTCACGTGTTCTTCCCTCTCGTTTGCCGCCGCCGCCGCCACCACCACCCTCTCTTCTCTTCTCTTCGCCTTGCCTCCCCTCGTCGTCTCTCTGGGTTTGCCCAGACGCGTGTTCTCTCACTGGGCCTCGCTGGCCATGCGGTCGTACTCCGCACGGGCAAAGCGGTCCCAGTCCGTTTTTTCCGGCCTCATCTTTTGCTGATGTTCTGCAAAGGGGTCGCGATGCTCAAAGAGTATAAACTTCTGGGCATTAAACACCATGTTGAAGAAGTTGGACGGCGTCGGACAGGCACGCAGGTCGCTCAACGTCAAGCCAAACTGATTCTCCTTGGAAAGTGAGAAACCCATCATATCTATCATTTGGCACATCATATCCGCATATGACAAATCTCCTTCTGGGCTCTCGGAAAACTCTAAGAAACGCTGATGGTTTTCCCTGTAAAACTCATACAGCTCATAACCGCTCAAGATGCCATCCCCATCCACATCCAGCACTTTGAACCAGTAGTATACGGCCGGGCTATTGTTTTTGTCTTCTTCTGACAAGCAAAAGTACACAAAATCCTCAAAGTCAAGTTTTTCCGATTTCCCTGACGAGAGTGGCCGCCCCGAACCCTCCACGACCCGCTTTATTACAGAGGGACAAATGGAATTTTGACCATACTTGCACAAGTCATCAAACCCAACCAGCTGATCTCTGTCCGTGTCCAACTCCCAAAACTTGCAATAGAGAACGTAAAAGTGCTCATAAGAGAAATACTGCAGCACCAAATTAACATCTTTTTCATCTAATTCTTTCATTACTTCAGGAAGATCACTACGATCAAACGCAAACCATCTGACTTGGCCGTTTTGTTGCCGTTCTAATGAATACATGATGCGTATAGCAACGGTGCGGCAGTAGTACTCTTGAAACTCTGGTTGCTTGAGGAACTCAAGCCCGGGATGGGAGTCAACCAGATACCGCACCATATCCTTAAATTCTTGAAGCGTTAAATACTCATTGTTCGAATCACCCCGAATAAGCTCAAACAGGCGTCGATTCACCGTCAGTGGACCAAATACGTTGTAGTAGTAACTCGATATCTGCTCGTAGGTAAGAGCGGCGGACTCAGAGACGCCTGCTGCGGCTGCAATGCGACGAAAAAGCGCATTCTTCATCCATGTTGGAATGTTAAAAACATCTTGACAAAGCTTTCCAAACTGACCTTTTCGAACCGTTTTTGTCGAGTCGATGGGTAACGTAGATCCTGATAACAGCTTGCGATTTAGCGCAGAGCCTTTGATAGCAAAGAAACTCCTTAAAGCTTCCTCTTCTGTCTCTGAGATGGCATGCAGTGCACCTCTCATTTCCGCCTTTCCATAAAACGTGGGGATGTCATTGTAGGTCGCACGCCGCACATTCTCCGGTGGCGTCAAAGCAAAGCTTCCAGAGGAGTGTACAAAACGCTGCGATTGCGACACGCTTCCGTTTGTTACTGTTTCTATAGAAGTAAAGACATCTCCTGACACCATTGCTGCGTTGATAATTGTGTCCAGACTTAAATCGCCTAAGGAGTGTGCTGCCGGCGGAGAGACTGTTGCGCCACTGTTGTTGCTGACATGTGGCACGGGCGCCATAGGGTCTACAACAGGCTTTACATGTGAAGAGGCGCTAGGTGAGGCCGGGGCTATACAACCGGGGGAACCTGCGCGGTGTGGGTAATCCAATTCATCCACACCAAAGAACCGGGGTGTTTGCACAGGACTTGGGGTTCTTTGGTATTCATCCGATAAGCGGCGACGCATTTGGCCAGGAGATGATGGTGGCGGAGACGTGCTACGTTTAGGCGATAAAGGTTGCGACACCACGTTAGGATCAGTGTGGTGCGAGCTACTCACTTCCAGAGCTCGCAGCTCTTTCTGGCAGTTATCATCCCTATCATCCAAACGCGAAGCGTAGCGATGTTGTGCCTGGCCGCCATCTACATGGCCACTTTTATTAGTCAGGTGCGCCGCATTGAGTATCTCCTCGAGGACCTTCTGAATGTCAAATGCACCTTCATCGCTGGTGCTCCAAGTGGCGTAAAGCTCCGAGAGGATAACTTTCACTGCCTGCGTATTGCGTTGGTGATAATTCAACGAGATCATTATAAATGACGGGCAACGCTAATTTGTCAGGTCCCACCCCGTGAGATATTTGTGCAGAAAGCGGAGAAACACGCAGTCTCCTCTACACCCCAAATTCCCCACCACTACCAGCAGCAACAACAAAAAGGCCCGCTGTCCAACAGCAACACAGAAGGTTAATAGAGAATATTCCTTCTCTCTCCCTGAGGTGTTCCGTCTCTTCTTCGTGCAGTTCTTCTACCCCCCCTGCCGTTTTCCTCTCACTCTATCGCGCACTTGACGTGCCCAACTCCTTATTTTTGTTCTTGTTGTGCGCCTCCCACCGTCCTCCTCCACCCTCTGAAAAACAACAGCAAGAACAAAAGGTCTACGCAAATAACGCACCGTCCCACGCCAGAGAAACGACACACTCACGTACCAAGGAAGAGAGATTTGACCGGAGAAAAAACAACAACAACGCAGCACGGAGGGAACCCCACCGAGTGGTGTCTGCCACTCACTGTACCCAATCAAGCCAAAAAAAAAAAAAAAAAAGGATCGATGAGCACAAAAAACACGGAACCAAAGAGCCGTGCCGCTTCCCTTTCCGGATATGTGTCACGCACGCGCAGATCCCTCCCTCTGCTCTATATCCTGACGTTCACTCTCCGCCTGATTTCTCTGGGGTGTGGGACCCAAAAGAGAAGCGCAACTCGCAGTGCGCCGTCAAGAACAGCCAGAAATACGCAGATATCAAGGAACCTCTGCAGTAGAAACAAAGGTGACGATGGTACAAAGAACACGTGCACCCCCTCCAAACCCGTCCTTATTTGGCTGTTGCTGTTTCCTCACACCTGTGCTGCCCCTTTGCTCCGCCTCCCTCCTTCTCTTAGCCAGACAACAAAAATTCGTCGGGAACGCTTCAAATAAAATAACTCTTTCCCGTTTCCTTCGCGAGGAGTCACTTTAACGCTTCTACTCTTCGCTGCAGGAAAACCAGAGAATACGAACAAAAAAAAAAAAAAAGGGTTTATACACAGTTTAAGAAACAAAGAAACAAACAAACCAAAAGGTCTACTCGCAGAAATAAATAAAATATAACTTCAACAACAACAAATTAACGCCAATTGGATGCAAAGTTATCATCGCCAAACAAACACTATACATACAGACGCATTTCATTTGCGTTCTACCCAACATTTGACTGCACCAGCTTCTTTTTTTCCCCGCAAAACATTTTCATACGCTCCAAAAACGGCAGAAGTCGCCACCGCCAGCACATTACAGACGTTATTACTTCCTATTGGAACCTCTTTTTTTTTTTTTTTTGTTGTTGTGGCTCTTCATATGTTGCTGCCACTTAATTTTGTGCGGTTGCTGCTTCTGTTTCAACTTCTGCGGCTGCGGCTGCGGCTGCGGCTTCTTCCATTGCTTTTTTGTCCTCCTCGGCCTGCTGCGCTGCCAGCTTTGCAAGCAATAGTATCTTCTCTACGTTATCCCCGGAGAAGGCATGAATCTGTTTTCCATAGGAGTAGGCAAAAAAGGTGGGGATAGCCACAACTTCTAGTGAACGACACAAATCCCCCGTCTCATCGCCGGCGTTGACCACCACAATGTTTAGCGTCGACAATAGGCTTGGCCGTTCCGAATTCAGCTTCTCCAAATACGGCATGATGGTTCGTGAGCAGCGATTGCAAAAAGGCGTCACAACGGCAACCAGGCAGCCACCATTGTGCTGCAGCACCACCGCGTCAAACTCCCCATGATTCGAGGCGTACAGGATTACGGGCGGCGGAGGGGGCGGCGCCTTTTTGGACTTCGACTTGGACTTCGACCTCGAACGAGACTTCGGCGGCATATTTCCACCCCTCTCTCTTCTTTCCCGCAGGCAGACAAAAGAAAAAAAAAAAACGCACAGACCACTTCCTCAGTAAAAACACAAAAAAACAAGAACTTGTAAGACGAGGGTGAGGACCTCGACGTGCTGGGTGTTGGGCGGAAGAATAGGGACGCGGCACTCACGCGGGGTCGGACCTCAGCCCTGGCGAGTTCACCCGTCCACAGGCCTCAAAAATAAAGCCCAAAAGAAGAAAAAGCGACAACAAGAGATGAAAAATCCATGCGCAGAAACGCAAGAAAATGGCAGGAAAATAAGAAACTCCATGACAGTGGAAGCAAAACGCTCAATAATTAATTCCCCTGCAGCCAAAAAAACAAAAACAAAACAAAAAAAACAACAAAAACAATTGAAAGAGAGATAAATAATAATAATAATAATAATAATAATAATAATAATAATAATAATAATAATAATAATAATAATAATAAGGGACGGTGTCACACAAGAGTGCAACAAAAACTTCCTTTTGCCTTTTTTCTCTCCGCCCTCTTTTCACACATTTTGACTTTCCGAAGATAAAACAATGCGTATTAAAAAAACAAAAACAACAAAAAAAAAACTCATTTCGCCCCCCAATTTTTGCGAGTTTCATTGAATCCTACAGAGTCCCTTCTCTGCCCTCTCTTTTTGCAGTCATGATGCATCAAAAAGGAATATATATATATATGTTTATATATTTACAACATACTGAAGGCCTTTCCCCACAAATAAACTAAGTAGAAGATACTAAAAACAAAAAATCCATAGTTGGCACTTTTTACCTCAAATATAGATATAAGTTTACTTTATAAACTCTAAAGAGCATCCAAGGCGGTCTTGAGTGCAGTAATTAGATCCGTTGCTTCTTCGATGCCACACGAAACGCGAACAAACCCATCAGTGATACCAACCTTCAGGCGATCTTCCTTTGTCATGTTGGCATGTGTCATGACTGATGGACACGTGATGATACTCTCCGCCGCGCCAAGGTTTTCGCAGAGTGACCAGGGACGCTGTACAGTATCCATCAGCTTCCGCCCCGCAGCTGTACCCCCCTTCACCTCAAACCATAGCATGCCACCGTGCTTGTTGTTAAGATGCTGACGGTCGGCAAGCGCTTTCTGAGGAAAGCTCTTTAGACCTGGGTACATCACCTTCTCCACAGCGGGGTGAGTCTCAAGGAACTCTGCCACTTTCTGCGCATTCTCGCTCTGTTTCGCCACACGCAAAGACATTGTTTTAACAGTCTGAAGCTGCAAATACGCCACAAATGGGGACATGGCATTTCCAAGTATATTCTGCGTGAGACGCACCTTTTCGTCCAGATCCTTCCGCTTCGTCACAAGCGCGCCTCCAACAGTCATGTTGTGCCCATCCACAAACTTGGTTGTGCTGATGAGCGTCACATCCGCGCCCAAGTCGAGAGGCCTCATGATAAAAGCGGTAGCAAACGTATTATCACAAACGTGAA